TTTACTTTTAGATTTATTTATTTATCTTTTTTTGGTGATTTAAAAATCTTTTAATATTTTTGATATTTTATTTTAATATATTATTTGATGTTGTTTTTTTTATGGTTTTGTTTGTGTACATTATATAATGTTTTTTTTACGTTTTGTTCGAATAGACAAATTAAAATAATAATCCGGATATTTTTGATGTTTTATTTAAATATATTATTTGATGTTTTTCTTTTAACGTTTTGTTCATTTACATTATATAGTGATGTTTTTTTTACATTTTGTTTGAATAAACAAATTAAAATCTTAAATGAGAAATCGCTACATGCAAGATCACTAAACATGAGAAACCGTGCATGTAAAATCAACACGCGTTCATACCATTTGCATTTGATACGTTTGGTTTTCTTGCGCCGGATGCGGGGAAACTTCTTAGTAGACTACAACGGATCATGCATAACAATGTTATACCTCCTAGATCTATGGATGTAGTCTTCAAAAGAATTAGTTTTACCATACAAAAGGGCTTAGCGGCGCAACTTGTTGCCCGTTTGCATTCTCATTCGTTGTATGATGATAACTAAAATCTTAAATAATTATCTATTTTTTTTATAAAAAAAAAAATAGAATCAATGTATGGATTAGAATTGGACTAAAATAATAAACCGTATAATTATAAATCGTCCAATATAATTATTTAATGTTGTTTTATGTGTTTTTTGTTTACATCATTCACTTATATGTAAGTGTTTGTTCTTTTATTTAGTTTTAAGAGATTTTATGGTTTATGTGTTGTTCGTTTACATCATTCATTTATATGTCAGTGCTTCCTTATTTATTACCTAAATAATTATATTTTTTCGAATAACTATTTATAAAAAAAGCGAAATTATATATATATATATATATATATATATATATATATATATAAAGAAAAAAAAGAACATTAAATAGTTTTATTAGAAGACTTATAGTTATCTAAGTTTTTGTTTTAATTTGTTTATTCGAAAAAAAAACGTTAAAACTGTAAATTCGATCAAACCATAGGGACCATATATATAACAAATTGTTAAAAGAAAAAAAAAGGCAATTTGGTATTTTTATATGAAGTAACAAACTGCGGTGTAATATTCACAAATCACAGGGATGTAACATATCAAAATTTAAACTTGAGAAGCAAAACTGTAAATTCGATCAAACCATAGGGACCATTTCGGTATTTTACTCTAACAATAATTATTATTTTAATGTTAATAAATGACATAATATTTTTAGTAATATATATTTATTAAGATTTTAATTGCATTATATAGACTTTCACTGGTGATATATTATTATATTATTTAAAAGAATTAGGTTTACTGTATAAAAAGGCCTAACGGCGCAACTTGTTGTCTGTTTGCTAGCCCACTTTGTTGTACGATGATAATTAAATTAATGAAAATGGTTATTTTATGACTCAAAATAATAATAATAATAATTTAATTATATATTAATTGTGTTGCTTTAAAAGTTTCGACTTCTAACTGCAATGAATGTAGACTTGTCCTTATGTGTACCGGAACAACATGCAACACAAGTGACATTCCTGCTGCCCCAGCCCCAATTTCCAGAATGCAAGTAAAGGACCAGAATACCCTTCTAAAGTTATTCACAAGTTACGTTTATATATTGTCTCTACACAAACTGCCAACTAGTACACATAAAAGTAAAACCTTTGTGTCCCACAAAGAGGGGTCTAAATAAAACGAATTACTCAGTTTTGGCTTGTTAAATGTTTAATTCAAGCTCAAGCTTTAACTCAAAAGTCGTTGAACAAGTTACGTTTTAATTAATTAGCCAGAATTAATTTTTCAGCTCCTTCAATAAAGTCGAAGTGGGAATCTCTCAGCTTCAAGTATTAAACTCGTTTGAGAATCTGTTTGGTTTAGATGGGAGTGAACAAAATTTATTTAGAAAACAAACAAAGGAGACATAAATGAGTTACAAATTAACTGATTTGAATTTGAAGCGATGGTTTTTAGAAGAATGAATTAATGAAATGTTGCATGTGAGGGGGAAAGTTTGTGAAAAGTTGAAGCCACGTAGAGTTGTGTTGTGAAGGATAAAGGACAAAATGATCTCTTTCAACTCCTCCAAGTAATAAATGATAGCGACTTTACATCAACTGTCCCATACTTAAGCCAAGCCAAACTCCCTATCACTCTCTTCCCTTCACATTCAACCATCAAAAGCTAACTATCTAGTTGCAATCCAACTAAACCACCTATATATACATTGTCCTTACTCACAAGATCAAAGAAGTCTTACAATAAAAAGTTTTATATATAGGCCACCTATGAGTGTCCTCCAACGAGGTCAACGTTATAGAGGTAAAATATAATATAATCAAAACAAAAAGGTAATATTTATGTTTGAATTACCTAGACAACTTCTATGAATTCTCATTTTCTGTCGAGCTGTTGGGGTGCTGCAAAATTTTATATATGAGGTTAAAAAAGTTCAAAAAATATATATTGTTAGCGTGGAATTTGTCTCCCACGTTACGATATACCTTTTTTTTATCACTCTCGGAACGGTTGTTTGATAAAATTCAATTGTTTAACGTGGTTCCATCTTTTTAATGGTTAAGAGATAATAGTGTTTCTAAACTATTTATAGACACACTTCATAGACTTCTGATTCGTTCAGCATTCGTTTAAAAACATATATCAAACATTTAACTTTGACCAATTTGTAGCCGACACCTGAATAGTTTCATTTAGAGGCTATCCATGTTTTAAACGTACATATTATAATAGGTTTATTATAGATACTTATAACGACTAGAGACTATGCATAAAGACATAAGAAAGTGTGGATTAAAAAAAATCACTAGGAAACAGTAGGTTAAGGATCTAAACATTTCCATTCACTTAAACATACTTTTGTGTTCAATCAAAATTCATCTCCTAGGGCTCGTTAGCCGTATCAACTACCATACCAAAAGTGATTTAAAAAGACAAATACAATTTTGCTATCTGGTTTTAATGTTAGCATGTAGGATCATAACTTCATTCTTACACCATGTTTTTAATAACGCAATTATTGTTTCCACATTTATTTATGATTGGACACTTTTTTGTACCGTCTACGTATATTTACAAACGTAATTATATTCTTGTTGACACCCATTTAATTAATGTAATTATTGTGCCTACATTTATTTATAATTAGACAATTCTTTGTCCGCGTATATTTAAAAAACGAGACTAGTTGTAAAAACTACTTCGTGACTACGAGTTCATGTAGCTTAATTACATCAAGGCATAGAAAACGTAATTATATTCTTTTATTTTATATATTGACATCAATTTAACTTTTGCATCTTTTGGTATCACATTCTTTTATTTTATATATTGACATCAATTTAACTTTTGCATCTTTTGGTATCACATTGCTTTACACATAAACATCTTTTTTGAGCCATCACATATGCAATGCATCTTTTGTGGTATCACATTGCTTTACCCATAAACATCTTTTTTGAGCCATCACATATGCAATGAAGTTGTATGGTACAGTCTTTTGTTTTACATGTTTAATATAAACAATAACAAAATGTTTTATCTACATTCGGAAGACTCACTTTCTAGCCCCAAAACCGATTCTATTTTTTTTTAACATTATTAGTTTAATTAGTTTTTCTGTTTCTATTTATAGGTGGAAGTCTCGTTGTGGACATAGGTCAAATTATATGTTAGTTTAGAAATAAATTATAATTGCCGGTTCAAAAAAAGTTATACATAAAACAATTAATAAAAGCTAGGAGTTGAATAAAGACTTACCAAGTCAAATTTTCTAATAGCACAAAGAAGATTTTAATTTGATTATCATAATGTATAATAAAAACATCAATCCATGATAAATTTATATCTAATCAACAACACATTCGACATTAATAGAATAAAAACCAACACCACCACAACCATACCAAGTTCCATAAAAATTGGGTAATAATGGGGATAAAATATAGGCATTGTAAACTATATATACTTTAAATATTTAATCAAATAAATAAACTATGACACAAAACACACCATATAGACACAATTTTCATTTGGATTTGAATAACATAATGTATAATAAAAACATCAATCCATGATAAATTTATACGATTTTTTTTTATTATATTCGTATATAAGTTGAATTAAAATGTGAAATATGGTGATATGCTTGGAGATAGTCTGGTTGAAAATTATTTCTGAAAATCCGAATTTGAAGAAAATGGATGCTTTTTTTGTTACCAGAAACATAGGGAATATAATAAAAAAAAATCATATTTTATTCTTGTTCTCAAATTACATGTACAATATATGTCAGCCAACAAATCAAAATTAACAATATGTTATCAACATATAAAATACTTACAAACATAGAATTACTTTAGTATTATCATCGGGTAAAACGTTTAACACGTAATAGCATGGTTGAAGAAATATAAGTCTGTTACTGATATGAATATAAATATAAATCAAGTAATATAAATATCTTACAATGGATATAAGTTAAGTAAATAAGTTACAATGGATAAGAAGTATTATATTTAATAAGCTATATGTTATAAATGCACTCTTATTATAAATAAAAACATCCATACTATCATATTATAATTTAAAAAAAAATACATTATATCACAAATAAATTATGTTGCAATTACCTACTACTGCCCAATCAAAAACTCAAGCACAATCATTCACTCCTATTTCCAAAATATTTTATTCTGATTATGAGCTTATCTTGTTTATTAAATTAAAATATTCACTTTATAGATTGATTGATTGTTCACCCAAAGCTTCTTCTACAATTCATGCATTTCTCATCTTAGAATGTGAAAACCTTTATTATATTTTTTTTCTCTGATTTAAAAAGCTTTCTAAATTTGTTATTATAAAATACATACATTAGAACAATATTATTAGTACTGTTATCGTTGTTATACATCATACAAATTAAAAACTGTAACACCATATGGACCGATGATAGTGAACAGCAAAATAGAAGAATCATTAGTAATAACGATAGTGAGTAGAATAAATTCAAGTTGGAATTCAAGCAACACCATTTAAATCAAAATTATTGCATGAAAGAATTGTCGAGGCACATACATGTTTAGGGCAACGTTCGAAGGGATCAAGAAATAAACCCTAATGCCGATTTGATTGGACAACACGATGCCACGCAGCCAATCAAGTTTCCATGAAAATTCGGGTTTTAATTAGACAATTTTGAAAAATAAACCAGTATTAATTTATTGGATTACCATAGGTTGAACCTGCAAGCAATCCACCACCTGATGACGCATAAACCTCAGATGGGTCAAGCAGCGGTGAAGAAGATGAACCACCCACATTCCTCCCTCCACCACCGCCGCCACCACCACCACCGCCCAGGTGCAATTCCGAAAAATTGGGGATGTTTGAATGATCTCTTGTTTCAACTCCTTGATCATAGAGGAAGCCTTTGAAGACATGTCCACCGATCGTAGCACTAGCTTGGTATGCATATTCATCATCTCCATCTTCCACCGCCGTCACCCTCACACATTTGAACACCGCCGGAGCACGCACTTGTCCGGGCAATGATTCCTTAAAACTTGCATCTAAAAAATAACCCAAATATAGTTGCAAACATTCGTAATCTTTGTTGATTCTTGGTTTCAAAACACATCGTTACAGCTTCAGAATTAAAGAACGTAATTCTATATAAAGATTTTTAAATGGAGGAAGAAAATTAGATGGATGAATTGATATATACCTTGATGATGACTGGAACTGGTTTCAAAACTGCGAGGAGGCGTTGTGTTGGAAGTGGAAGTGTGTGAGTTAGTTGTGGTATGAGAAGTGAGGCGAGGCTTTTTAGGACCAGAAGTTGAGGCGGAGGAAACAGTGGCGGCGCCCGTTGATGTAATGAGTTGACGTTCTCGGCGGCGAGCAGCGGGTACCCAAGTGCTCTTCACGTGTGTAGCACAATCATACCCTCTACTCTTGCAGCAAGTCCGGCACCGCCGGTGGGTGCAATCTTTTTTTGCCTGATTGCCGCAGTCTTGACAAGTCATGGTGGAACCTGAAGTTGACGTCGACCCACCACCGCCGACGCTGCCTTGGAGAAACCCATGATCGGAAATCATTGGCTTGTTCAAATAATTATGTGGTTGCGTTTGAGGGTGTTGCTGCCAGAACTGAATACTATAATTACTGTTATTATTGGTGTTGCTATTTCTACCGCTGCCGCGATTATTCAACATACCTTCTTCAACGTTGAGACAAGGAGTGGTGCTCAAAAGTGGAATAACGCCGACGCCGAGCGCCGTTGCAGCGTTGGCGTTTGCAACAGATGAGTTGATGGAATGATGATCGGAGAGATTATGATGACTGGAAGGAGCAACCACAAACACATCACGAAGACCCAACATGCCCATCTCCGGGAGGCCGTAGTTGATTTGACGAGCGGACGGGGCTGACGACCACATCCCGGTAGATACCCCACCGGCGGTGGCGGGACCGGCATTGAAACCTAAAGAAAGATCCTGATCAGAGGGTCTGAGAGCAGAAGATGAAGAAGGATTAGCAACCCAGTCTGCAAAAGCACCTGAATCTGAAGGCAGCCTACTACTCCTGCTAGTAGCCACAACTGCTAGAATTTGTATCAAAATCTCTCAGAGATTCGTTGACAAAAACCCAAACTTTATTACTTCAAAACCCCAATTCGAATATAGGGTTGAAGAAGATTTTATAAGATCTGAGAAAGATCTACAAGTCTGTCTATAGATATTACTATGATGCTGGGCGTGTGGGGTCTCTGAAATTCTCCTAAACACAAAGAGACTCGCAGAGAGAGAGAGAGAGAGAGAGACTACACGATTACTGCTCTGATACAAAGATTTGCAGTAAGATCAGAGAACACTGCTACTGCAATAAACTACCGAAACATAACAAGGAAGTTGGCTTCTTGGCTTTTTTGAGACAGAAAAAGAAGATTGAAAAAGAAGAAGGTATTATGTGTTCTTATCTTCGTGGGGTGTTTTTAACTTCAACGGCTCCATCATCACCATCGGCTTCTTTGCATAAATCCTTTGTTTTTTTCTTTTGAGTTCTTGGAAAGTGAGAGGTGGGTTTTGGGTTCTCTTTCTTCCTCTCTCCAATAATCACACCAAGAAAAGAGTATAAAGACTTTTGTTCTCTGGTTTTTTGTAATTATTTGGGCTACTACTACTGCTAGTCTACTACTACTTCTGTGCCCTCTTCAGTCTACAAAAGAAACAAAGCCCACCTTCTTCTTTCATGCGCGTGGATAGCTTATGAATGTAAATTCCAAAACTACACCTTCAAATTACGGATATGGGCATTAAGACCCTTCACACATTGGGCAATTCCCAAGTCACCCTTTTCAATCCTTTCCGTTAGTTCTATAGTAAATACCACTTCTATCTGAACAATAAAATTAGCCTTGGTAACTCTTCATCGTTCATTGAATTATCATCAATGTACATATAAATATGTGTAAGGGATTATGAGGAAATTTCTTCCACCATTTAAAACATAATAAAAGAATAAATTATAAGTGTGACCCACTTAACTATTTATTTTAAATCTACTCACTTCATTTCAAACTTGATATTGAATTGTTTACCATCCAAACATTCATAAAAATGAAAAAAGTTTTATCACAAGTCATTCAAATTCAAGCTATACCCTCCTTGTTGTACATAAGTTCTTACCTAATCATCAATGTCTTGTTTGGGTTTGTTATAATGCGTATGGTCCCTTGCTTTTTATTCTACCGGTTGCTACTTAACAATTTGTTACAAGCATGTGTGTATCACTTCATTAAGAATAAGAATTTCACTCTTTTGAGGTCATTCGGCTTCAACCGACAATATTACTAAAACCAAGGTTCTAAATGACGTGAGGCGTAGTGTGGCGGCAAGGCCAAGCCTCAAGCTTAACGAGCCATGACGTTTTTCAAGACGTGATGTAAGGCGACGATTTTATATTAATTTATAATTATATTACCATATAAATATAAATGTATATCAAATATAACTACTTTTTAGAAGTGTTATATCAATAACTAATAACAAAAAGTTAACAAAAAACACAATATTTGTATCCCCGATTATAAAAGACAAAACAAAGAGAGAAAAAAACGTGTCTCAAACGAAAAAAAACGCGTGTCATAACACGCCATAACGCGCCATGGCACGTCATATCAAGCCTTGTCATGTGTCACGTCTAACAGCAACGTTATGAGGCTTTTCATAACGGCGAAGTCACGCCTCACGCCATGGCACGCTTTTTAGAACACTGACTAAAACTAAAAGTTATTAGTCACGTCCATAGACCTTTAGAAACTTTTCTTGTGAGCAGTTTGTTTGGTACCCAAAAAAAAACTTTTTTGCAGCGATATCTTACTTACGGCGTCATCTTTTCCGGCAGGATCAAACGCCGGAATAGGTTTTTGTTTTCATTTTCAGTAAGGAAAATAAAGTACGAATGACAGTGTATAAAGATTTTGAATGGAGGATTGGAAATAAAAGAGTTGCGAGGACAGGAACTACATCCAATCAACATTATGTAGAGAGACTGGCGGTGACTTTTTTTTGTCACGGATTTCCCTAAAGACATGGAGGAGAAAGGTTTGTGGAAGTAATTTCAAGATTATGGCAAAAAAGTAGATGTCTATGTTGCTCAAAAGCTGTCAAAGGTTGGTAGGAAGTTTGCATTTATTCGATTCTTGAAAGTCATAGATGAAAGAAAACTGGAAAAAGAACTTGAGAATATTTGGGTGGGAACTTTCACATTTTCGTCTCTGTTGCTAGAATTAAAAGAGAAATCTGGTTTAATCATAACAATTGGGAAAATTCTGAGCAGGTAGATAAAGGATTGAAGGAGAATTCCAATATGCAAAAGAAGGGGAATATTCATGAACAGGGTGTGTCCTATGCGAAAATTGTTAAAGGTAGTAAAGGATATTTAAGTAAAGCTAGTTTAAGTGAGATCAAGAAAGTAATCCTTTCTACTGGGGACTATAATACACCTGATGATACGATCAAGAAAGTAATCCTTATTAAAGGAGGCTTCTCTTATTCCGAATTTATACACGATGTCTCATGACGTAGGTTTTGATGAAGTGAAGATTAAGTATATTGGAGGGACTTGGGTTTCGGTTGAATTTATGTCCTCAAAAGTATGTATTCGATTCAAGCAAAGTGATGGGATTAAAAAAAAAACTTCAAGGAATTGTTATCGGTGTCAAAGAACGGGTTGTATGGCTTGACATTTAGGGACTGTCATTAGTCGTGTGGTTTGTAGCTGCATACAAGAAAGTTGCAGGAATGTATGGGACTGTTATGTTGTGACTTCCTCAATTTCACGGTCAGAAAAGACCAATTTGTTTATGCTTTATTTGAAAATCAGAGTATATTTTTAAAGAAAAAGGTTGCGGAATTTGTTCCCAAAAATATGATAAATATTATATTAAAACCTTGGGATGTCATTGTCAATACAGATCAAAAGCATAAACAGAAACAACATAGACCTTACAACATTTATTTATTTCTACTTGCCTATAATCCATAATCCCTCATCCGATCATCTCAACTATGCTCTTGTGCCACTACCTGTAATACAAGAAACTGAGTGAGTCAGGCTTGGTAGCCTGGTGAGCACATAGGGTATTCAACCCACAATAAATAATTTATTAATTTCATCAAATCAATCAACCCGATTACCCGTTCAAGTTATCCTCATTTTATGTCCCTAAAGCATCTATCATAAAGGACCTATCCTAAGGATTTTCATCAGGATGGACACTACTGCTAAGGGGGTTCCTCAACAATAATTGTCTGTAAGGCAACCATGAGGGGGATGGAGTACACCAGTGAGCATATCGTTCACAAACACCTACAGGTTGCGAGTGTTCCACTAAACTGTCTAGAATAGTCGTGGTCGTCATCTATACTCCGCTAGATGACTGGATCATCGTAAACATCGACGCCTCTCATCATGTTATCACACTTCAACTATTTCATCTACCCATGTTTTACCCAACATTTTCGTAGATATAAAATACATATACAGTTTAAATTATTTAAAACATGTATAAATCATTCATCCAATATATATATCAAGAACACAGATAATATGCACACATAGTACGTAATTTATATTAAATACTTCATATCTATGTGTAAGATGAAAGTAACTATGCACTCACTTGTTAAAGTGGTGATTCCAACTTGGACAGCGCTTCGCTTCTTAACAATATAATTTCCTTCGACGAAACCTAGTATTATTACCACTAGATTTTAGTTTAATATTTCTCGTGACTAATTATTAGTCTTAGTATTATTATCATTATATAAGCGTTAAGCAATACTTTTTAACCACTATGTACAGACAGGGGCCAGACATGAAACACCGGAGGGCATGACCATTTTAGCATTAAAGCACTTCTGAAATCCAACAACCCAAGCGACCATTCAAACCGGATTCCCTGTACCGCGAGTAGTTAAAAAGATATTATAACAACACTTATATAATTCATAATACTAACTTATATGTTGATTATAAGTTCATAATAACAATACTAAATTTAAACATAAGCTATACTTAAAATAGAGTAAGCATATCTCACTTACCGGGGGTTTAGCTAGGAACCGGGCTGTGCGGGGGCAAAACTTCTGAGCTAAAAAGTTATTCTTCTCGGAGCCTTTGGGTGCTCCGGGAATTGCCTCTTAGCACTTGGGAAGTATTAGGGCTTGGGAGAGGTTTAGAGAGAAGTTAGAGAGAGAAAGAGAGAGAAGGGTTAAGGTGTGAGGAAAATGAGTGAGCCTCGCATGGTATTTATAGGCTTAAAAATAGCTCAAATCGGTGAGTTCTGAGCCTCCAACTCGTCGAGTTGGGTGCCAAGTATCACCATCTGGCGGCAAGGCGTGGGGAGGAAGCAATGGTCAGGATTGTGCCACGTCACCCTCTTCGCAACAGCCCATTCCCGACTTCTAAATTCCGTGACTTTCGCATACGAGCTCCGTTCTAGACATTCTTTATATCCACGTATAGGTGGCGACGTACTCTACAACTTTCGTTTAGACTCCGTCGGCTAATTTTGAATTTATTTTTTAAAGTTATATTTTAACAGGCAGGTAAAGTCCGTTAAAAACTCATAACTTTGTCAAGGATGTTCGTTTTTGTCTGTCTTTATATCGTTGAGTTCTTATTAATGAGAACTTCAATTATCATTTAGGTTGTGTCAGTTAAAAATTGGTCGATCTAATATTCGAATTCCGGGCTGCATACTAATATGCCAAATCATAGAAAAACCATAACTTCCTCATACGAAGTCAGATTTGGACTTTCCTTTTATGCACGCTCTCGGTTTAACGTATACTACGACTTTCGTTTAGATCGCGAAGGCTAAAAAGTATTTTATCATAAACTCACTTTTTACGTCACACAGCGTCGTGCCTGTTTTGTTGCGAAAGTTCGACATGTCATAACTTCTTCGTTATAAGTCGGATTTCGGCGTTCTTTATATCTCCAGAATCTTTGTCACGACCACTACAACTTTCTTCATAGATATTGGGTCTATCTATTATTTTATTTTTGACGCTTATATTTATTCTTAATATATTACATCGTTATAAATAAGTATAATGCACATAAAAATCTTATAATTCACATAATATTTAAGTAATTTCTCTTTATTACTTCAAAATAAGTTACAATTGTTGACCTTAACTATTACATCATCACATTAGTGCTTAGCCAGGAAACACGGGCGTTATAATTCACCCCCCCCCCCAGGATGATTCCGTCCCGGAATCATGCATCAACAAACAGATGTGGACAGCGACTCATCATGTCACTCTCTGTTTCCCAGGTGAGGTTCGGCCCATTCGTATGTTTCCATTGCACAAGTACTAAGTCTACCATCTTGCGTCGCAACTTTTTCGTCTTACGGTCAACAATTGCCTCAGGCTCTTCGATTAGCCTCTTATTTTCACCCATCCTTAACTTCGAAATTGGACTTATATTGGGATCTTCTCCCATGAACTTCCTCAAGTAACACACATGGAAAGTGTTATGAATAACATCTAGTTCTTCTGGTAGTTATAGCTTGTAATCTTGGGTTCCAATCCTATGAAGAACTTTGATTGGTTCAATAAAATTTAGACTCAACTTTCCTCTCTTCCCAAATCTTATAAATCCCTTCCACGGTGAGACATTGAGCAACACCGAATGTCTAACTTCGAATGTCATCGAACGTCGCTTTTTGTCAGCA